TTTTTTTTTTTCCTTAAAATAATTCAGGGGAGGGATGAGTTCTATTATCTGGGGTCACTGTTCCTTTCCCTCATTTTTTTAATTCATAAATTTGTTTTTCTATTTTGAGAATAAGGTTTATTTGTTTTGCTGAGGGTGGGGGCATCTCTCTTCAGGAATGGATGCTTTTTTTTTTTAAATACTTAATTTATTTTTTTCCACTGAGGAAATTACAGTCAGCAGGCTTTGGAAAGGTTAGACACCATATCCCTAACAGAATTTCTATTTATTTTCTTTTCAAAATAAAGGTCTTTTGGGGGAAGTAATATGTTCAGGGTCTTGTGCAGCGTCTCCTTCCTTCTCAGGCTCCTGTTCTATGATGGTCCCCTCAGGGAGCATCAGACAGAGAACAGCAGTCACTGCTTTGGAAAAAAGCAAGACTGATATAATGTCAGCTTAAAGATTGTCTTTAGACACATGAAGATTTTTATGTGTCACAGAAAGTCATATATTAGATATTATTTTTAAAATCCATACATGACAAATTGTTATTTAGGTGTCAAATTTAATTTTGCCCTCTTCCACCCTGCTGCTTTCTTCAAGGGAATACAAGAGTTGATAATGCAGAAGAAAGCATACTGTAAATTGCCATACTAGCAGAAGGAATTATATAATCCTTATTATAATGTCCCTGAATGGTTTCCTGGACTCTATGGATTTTTCCCCTCTCCTTGTAAGCAGTTGGGGTAATGGCTCAGCTTTTCTTTTGGGGCTACAGCTCTGCAGAAGCCCTATTCATAAGCACTAAGAATTGTACTTCCAGGAAAGAAAGACCACTGACCAAATATCTCATTATTTTCCAGAACATCCTGCCGCAGATGTTCAGGAGCTCCAGAATATACCAAATAAATCAGATATGATCAAAACCTTATGAGGAAGGGGGAAGGAACCTAAGAGGAATAAAGGCAATTTCATCTTGACCTTCAACAGGTTGAACATTCAAATCTACAATCACTGCAGGTATTCTGTTCACTTAGGATAAAAATTTATTACCCCTGAAACAAACAACATCATCTTGGGTCTGCTGCTGTCGGGACTGCAGAGGATAAGGACAATTTCCAAAACATTTTCTGAAATTGTTAGTACTTTCCTTCTTAATTATGGTTGTAACATCCATTCTGAAAATGGAAAGATTGACTGCATTCCCTCGAGGTGTATGAATTCCAGGCTATTTAAGAAAGCATTTACTTCTTACTCTGAAATCATTGAAAATGCATTTTTATTCATTTACAGCAGCCATCTCTGCATCATTGCTGGAAATGGATTTGATAGGTTTCAAGCTTCAGCAAGTGTTTATTAAGCAAAAATATGGAGGGTTGAATTGTACCAGGTGGTGGGAGGGAGACACAATATCTACTTTTCGGAAGCTCAGAAATAGGCAAGATAATGTATTCAGATAAAAATGACCAGATATCATATGAACAAATGCTTGCTACTTTGCAAGAAAATGTGTGCAAAAATATCAGAAAGCAGTTCTGTTATGGTTTGGGATATAAGGGTAATTGCTGTGTAATCATTAAGAGTGGCACACAGATACCCTCCCCACCCTAGAAATATATGCCACAAAAAATGTATTCTCAGATTTTCATCAATCACCTGTATGATGTGATTATAATTTCCTAGCTGATCAAAATCTAATGAATTAAAATATAAACTGTCTTCAACCATAGTTGAATGGAGAAAAACAAACATAGTCAATGTCTTATAAGTTCCACTCCCCCCTAGAGAGTTATAGCATTGTTAAAGAACCAATTCACACATCCTTACTTACACTTACTGCCACCAGGTGGGAGACAACGGCTCGTTTCCTGGAAATCAAAATATTTTAGAAAGGAAGGAAATAGACAGGTTTTGTTCACCGACTGTTATCCTGGTAGCTATTCTGAAAGAAAGAAAACATGAACACCCCCCCCTCTTTATCAGTTTCTACCCTGACTCTTGGCATAGATTTTCAATTAGTGTGTTCTCAAACTCCAAAAGCAGACTTACACTCTAGAAGATGCTGTGTATATTTATTTATTTATTTATTTATTTATTTATTTATTTATTTATTTATTTATTTATTTTTACTGCAATACCAGTCAGCAAAATTATCTGGGAGAAACCTGCAGTCACATTCAAACACTGGGTTTTGTTCATTTCATTCTTTGACTTACCAGGATAGTTGGATGGCTATTGGTCCTGACTATACTTGCCATTAAATTGTAGAATTTTATTGTAAGATGAGAACTGTATTTTGTTTTGATCTCTGAATGTGTGTGTGTGTGTGTGTACACGTACACAAGCACATGTGTGTGGCCTGTGTCTTTATTTCCTCTCCCCAACCCCCAAGTTTGCCTCAAAGAAGCAGTGTCTGAGAACAATGCCACTCCAGGTAAGATGGAAACCTGTTTACTTTGAATGTTAAGTCAGCTGGTTGTGGGGTGTTATTTGCTGAGGAGGATACAGCAGACAATGAAGGAGGATACAGCAGACAATGGTCCTACCACTGAAGAGGTGGTTCCATCTGTAGCAAGCAATTGCATAGCAACAACTAGATGTTGGAGAAGGGTTCAGGCAGAAACAATTGGCATCTTTCAAAATCTTTTAGGGTCACTGATGTGTTCATCTACATGGCCCCCTTAGTGGATAGTCATGATTCTTTTTTTTTAAATATATTTTTATTGATTTCAGAGAGGAAGGGAGAGGGATAAAGAGATAGCAACATCAATGCTAAGAGGGATTCATTGATTGGCTGCCTCCTGCATACCCCCTGCTGGGGACCAAGTCCACAACCCAGGTATGTGCCCTTGACTGGAATCGAACCTGGAACCCTTGAGTCTTCAGGCTGAGGCTCTATACACTGAGCCAAACCGGCTAGGGCAAGATTCTTAACCTTATTTTGCAAGATACGTGACTGACTGGCTGAATGACCAGCTCTATCAAGGGCAAAGTCAAATTCTGGGAGGGGGGGGAGCGGAGGGGGGGAGTCAGGGTCGGGGTCCTCTGCCAGGGCTGCAAGTGCCTCTGAGCTAATCACCTTAATGGGTACTATGTAGAGGAAACTAACCTGATTACCTTTACCTTGATTCTCCTTATCTGTCTGACAACAGACATTTTCCAGTCAAGCTGGTGAGAGACACTTTCCCACTGCCGCAGGGCTCATCCCGGAGTTCTGGCCTCCAGGCAGACTTGTGGAGGTCAAAGAGACCACGCATTTGAATTTTTTGAATTTTGCTAGTCAGCCTGGTAATTAAGGCCCCAGGTGTTAGTTTCTCAGCCACATTCCCAAAATGTCACTTAAGAAAGCCACGGACCAGGTAGACACTACTGGTCTCCCTCTCACCAGCTTTATGAAAATTCTTCTTTTTAAAAAGACAAGAGCAAGCACTGGTTAGAGTGTCCTTCCAGGTCTAGCTGCCCTGCCCCTTTCCTTCTGGAGATCACTGCAGGGAATGGCCCCTGTAAGAAGGGGAGAGACCCACCTCCTGGTGAGAGCAGGGTTGTTAGATTTTTTAACTGGCCTTAGCCTCCTACAATCCTGTTTTATTTATTTTTAAACATCTGTATTTTCCCCTTCGAAACTTTCCCTTTTAGGTCTTCTCTTTTTTTTTAGTCGTTTAATATTGCAATTATTTTGCAAAGTCAATCCTCCCTGCTCACAACTCAGAAAGCAACCAAGGCTGCTTTCCTTTCTGTTTTGCAGGATGCCAACCTGTGCCCCCTCCCCCTACATTCTACAAGTGTCCTCAGCAGAAGCATTCCAGAGCCTTGTCCCTGGCCCTGCTACACAGCAGGAAGAATGGGCATTGTTGGTGTGGTATGTTATTTGTTTGTTTCTGTGTTTTATTTTTCCTGCAGGGGAAGCTAAATGAAGGCGTATGTATGCATTACCATGATTTTTCAGTCTGTTGGAGCGAAGTTTAGGGGAAGAAGAGTACGGGAAGTACAGAGAAAGCAAGAAAGACAGACTCCGGTTGAAGAGCAGGCACTCGCTTCTGGGGTCCATGGCAAACATTGTTAACCGTCTTCATTTCACCCCCTCCCGCCCCCATCCCCGCGCCAGTGACGCGGACCCTCCATTCTCCTTTTCCGGCTAAGTGAATCATTTATGAAGGCATCTCTAAAGAGTGGAAGAGATGAGGATTCCCATTTACGTGCTCTCAAAGAGCAACTCTTATTTTCACGCCGCTAAACCGGGGCCCCTGTACCATTTGAAGTGGTCCTGGTGCAGGATGCCAGTCACCTTGCTTGTCAAGGGACCCATTGCTACATCAGTGTGATTGCACCTACCTGCTGGGAAATCCTGCAGACAGATGAGCGGTGGCTCCGACATACGCATGTCCCCCCCACCCCCACCCCCTCCTCCCAGGCGAACCCTTCCCTTCCCTTCCCCTGCAGTGTGCGTGGACACCGCCCATCCCCTCATCCCCACCCAGAGTGCCAACGTCCAGCAGCAGACCGAGGCACAGGGCACCTCCCTGGAGAACCACCAGTTATGCCCCAGCTGAGGACCCCCTCCCCGGTGATAGGGACGGTGCCAAGCAGACAGCTGTGGCTCCGCAGCTTGGGCCTCTGCGGCAGTGACCACCGCGAAGAGGTGTGTTCTGCTGTCCCCACTCCATCCCATCCCGTGTATCCCGGGCCAGCCCCAAAGGCCTCTTTAGGTCTCTAGCGCTCCCGGGGAGCATCTCCCGTCTCTTTTTTAAGATCGAGGTGCTCGCCACACTGTCACTTCTCCCCTTGGGGAAAAATTGTCCCGATGACCATCCCAGGCGGTCACCCCGTTTCTAGCCCCAAATAGCTCACTTTCGCTTCCACAGGTTGCTTCCCGATTCCCAACCCCTTCCCACTCTGCTGTCCCCGCATCTTTCTGAGCATCTTTTCTGGTCCTTGGCAGCCAAATGGGATGCTAAGGTACCCAGGGTCCCCAGAGCCCGAAAGACATTGGCCTCGCCTGCCTCAGGGGGTCCTTTCCTTACCTTTATATGAGACCAGGGCACCGGCGTTCGGGGCGATGCCGAGGTCTTCAGACCCGTCATTGGAGCGATCGCTGGACACTGCAGTAGCTGAGGTGCTGGACTCGGCTCCGGACGGGACTCTGAAGCCGGCTCAGGGCAGGACTCTCTGGCTGGTTCTGTGGCTGGTTCTGGGGCCGGCTCTGGGGCCGGTTCTGGGGCTGGTACTGGGATCGGCTCTGGGGCCGGTTCTGGGGCTGGTTTTGGGACCGGCACTGAGGCCGGTTCTGGGGTCAGTTCTGAGATTGGCTGTGTGTCTAGTTCTGTAGCTGGTTCTGGAGTCGGCTCGGGTGCCGGTTCTGTATCTGGTTCTGGGACCAGCTCTGGGTCTGTGGTCATCTCCGGACAGGGTTCTGGAGCAAGCTCTGAACAGAACTGTGGTGTGGGCTCTGGCGGAGGCGCGTGGAGCGGTGGGAGAGCAGGCTGCGGCGGCGGCCACGGTGGCGGCTCTGAAGATTCTGAGGGCTGCTCTTCATCCTGATTCGGGGCAGTGCCGGGGGCGGAGGCTGCCCCGCGGTCCATGGCTTCCCCCCCGCCTCAGGTCTGGTCAGTCTGTGCCCCTGAGCTTGGAGGGCTAAAGTACCCTTGGGCGCCCCGCCCCCTCCAGTTCGACAGCCCCTTGCAGGGTGCGAAACTTTACCCCGCCCCACTCCATGGCTGGCTCCCCTCTGAGCTCTGAGTTCTAACCCGGGCTCTCAGCTTCTCCCAGAGCTGGAACACGCCCCTCGGTGTGCGCACACCTCTTCGTAAGCAGCCACAGGCCAGATGGGCGGGAATCAGAGGGGCTTGTGAAAGCCGACTGGACAGAGGCTTGATGACCTCCTAGCGACGAATGGGAGGGGAGAGGAGGGGGGAGACAATAGGGGAGGGGGAGTAGAGAGGGGGAGTTGGAACCCAGCTGCGCGCTTAACCCTTTAGTGACTTGAATGCAAAAAAAAAAAAAAAAAAAAAAAAAAGAGCCAGACGCCAACTTGAGGGTCTTTGCCATCCCCTCATTCACTCTGCTGTGAGCTGCTGCTCAGAACAGCTTCCTTCCTGGGTCTGCTCTCTCACCTCAGCAGCAGGTGAACCTAGCCGCGGACCAACCTCTTACCCCCCATCTCCAAACCTCTGTGGGCAAGTAATTCTTTTTGCTAACCCTGGGGAAAAAATTAACCAGCACAGGATTTTTTTTTTGTGTGTGTGTGTGTGTGTGTGTGTGTGTGTGTGTGTGTGTGTTCAATCCTTTCATCCTTCCCGTTGAGGTAAAATTTGCCTCCCCACCTTCATTTTTTGCATTTCTGAGCTTGGCCAGGTCAGAGCGGTTTGCCTTTAGGTGCGGGGTTTGAAGTGCTTTGGGAAAGGTATGTGACGAGGGCGGGCGGGCGTGAGCACTGATTTTCCACAGCCTGCAGATAATAGCTCTGAGAGAAGCAAGAGTGCCCAGGAAGTGGCTGCGGGACTGCACGTCCCAGCTGTCCAGGTCTCCGCAGTGATCCGGGTGTCTGTATGGCGCGCCTCGCCCATGGGATCCAGCCGTTTGCTTTGAGCTGGACTTCCCAGGCATGAGCAGGACTTTTTCCTGAACTTGTTCCTGTGCATGTGTGTGTTTGCTTGTGTATCTATCGTGGACTTGGGGAAATTCACTGCAACACCACATCGTTTTCACCTCCTGATTCCTGGGAAGCACTCTGACATTAGGGACCCGCAGATTATCTGGTGAAGGGAACAGCGGTCCCTGCCGCAGCACCCTTCCCACTACATCGGGAGACTTCAGAAGCTCTCTCTATTTTTATGGACACATACATACAAAGCATCACCTCAGTCAGACCTAGACTTGAGGCAGCAAATATACTGCAAAACTGCAATTAAAAACTGAGAAGACCACCCATTAAACCGTTGCTGTGTGAGAATTGGGGGGAGGGGTACCTACAAGCCTCATTTGAGAGATGACAAGTGAATTTATCTCTGACACATAATGCTGCAGTTGTGGAGAGCAACCCTCCTTCTGCAGCCCCTCCCCCCCTCTCCTCCCAGACTATATCCTCCACTAATTCCTCTTCTTTTTCCTATTGACACTGACACTGACCCACCCAGAATTTTCTAAAATCTGCAGCATTTTTCTGTGCCCTACACTACATCTCAGCAGTAAATAATACCAGAGAAGACAGGCTCATCTCGCCTCCTCCCAAGAACAGAATCTCTGATGAGATCTGCATTTCCCAGATCTTCACTGCAGCAACACAGCTAAAGCCCACCCTTCTGCAGAAAGGTTACATTGCTTGGTAGCTACTAAGCTAGTGTGGGGACCATCCCTAACCTTTGGAGTAGGGGAAGCCCTGGGGAGGTGAGCCCTATCAAGTTCCCTCACTGATGGCAGGCCTCCCTTCAGTAAATCCACATAAAGAGCTCATCTTTTTTACCCTCTCTGGGCTTTTTCTCTTCTCTCCTCTCCTATACTCAAGCAGCCAAGCTGATTTTTAACCCTAAGAATTCAGGACTGAAACATACAGATGCCAGATCTGACCAGCCAGTAAGCCTGCACTGGCCATTCACTTCTTATACTTTACTTTCAGACTTTGGTGAAATCTTTGTCTTTAGAAGGGGCCAATAGTTCACATTTCAATCTTGTTTTCACTAAAAACCTGGCAGCATATAGTCAGAAGGGCTGAAGGCAGAGGAGTCACTGAATAGGATGGCCTCTTGGGTTACAATGACGGGGTGGGGTTTTGGCATAGATAGGGTGTCTTCAAGCAGGACACCAGCAGGGGACGACTTGGAGCTATTGCTTCATATATGTTCGTTGGTACTCTTGTCTGTAAATCTATGCTTAATCACAGAGTCCAACATTTATGCTATAAACTCTTGCTGTAAGGCCAGTTTGAGGCTGAATACTAAAATGGTTGTTTGCACATAGCCTTTGTTCCATTATGGTCGGTTGCTAGATATATACTGCCTGGATTGTATTATGATTAATTTAATTAAAAATTGTTGGCACATCACAAGCTACTTTATTGCCTTATGTTATAACAAGGTTTAGTTTTGCTTTTTAGTCTTTCCTCAACCCAGCATCGAATACATTGCTTTATGGAAATATGGGTGGTGGAAATAATTAGAATGGGTTAATTGATGCCTGACTTCCAGGCATCTTTGCTGTATCTTGTTTACACCTTTTTCTCCCACACGGTCCGTGGGTCTCTTAGCAGTGAAAGCTTTATTTAGATGCTTGCGTATTTTCCTCAAAACCTAACCTGGGGCTGAGATCATAGTAAAGATTCAGAAAATGTCTGTTAAATATAGGATTCATTGCAGATTACTGGTTAGGATTTTCCCCCCCTCTTTTTACAGTATTTTATATTTTAGCTGATTGTTGATTTCCTAATAGGCTCTTTTCTAAGAGTTCTTAACAACACTAAGTTCTTAACAACACTAAGTTAACACTTAGTGTTCTGAACAACACTAAGAGCTACATGTGAACACGAATGATGACAATCTCCACAGAGGTTTGAGTGGAGACGGTTGTCCCAGGGCAGACCTGGTCCCTAATCTGGGGCATCTGGACATGCTATATGTTATCTAATTGGGCTAGATGAAGGATAGATCAATCAGTGGAGTCATATCTTTGAATATGCAATGTGTTACCTCACCTCCACCTCCAGCACAGAGATCCTTTGATTTCAGACATGCTAGGAGTGCCGGAAAGGAAAAGGAGAGAAAACCTGAAACATGTGCAAAATTAAAGTTTTCCTTTCTCTTTTTTTTTTTCATTTTCTTTTCATTATTAAATGAGAGAATGACAATGTAGAACTAGAGCAGAAGCCCCCTTTCCCCTGACCAATATCTTCAATTTCCCTAAACCCTCCCTTTTAGAGAAATTTATAGAATAGGTGTTTTTCCTGAGTCTTAGCAGCTGTCAAACTCCAACCCCCCCACTTCCTGCCACAGTGTTTATAGAGAAAGTAGATGATTTAAACAATTAATTTAGATGTAATTAACATGCAAACCTGTTATCCTTCATTTGCTCTAATCTCCTAGGATTTGACTAAAACAGAAATGGGATTTTAGAAGTTAATAACTTGAATTTATAAATGCCTTTTGATTTTAAAGTACTTTCACATATATCATCTTGAGCTGCACAACAAATGTGTGAGGCAAAGTAAGTCTGGACTTCCATCCTCCACTCCACTCCCTAACCTTTTACAGTTGAGAAAACACAAGTCCAGTGAGATTAAGTGATGTTGTCTTAGGTCATGGAGATAATTAGTGGCAGAACAGACATTTAGAACTTGTATCACTCAATGTCCAGCTGAGAAAGACCAGAACGTAGTGCTGAGTTGGGGGTTGTGAGACAAAGACTGTGTAAATCCTCTGGATTGCAAAGTGGAAAGTCTGTTTTAATACCTTTCTATTATTTCTTAAGCCTTTAAGAGGAGCCATTATTCTTACTTTTTACCTTGAGGTTTCTCAGCTCGCTCTCTCTCTCTCTCTCTCTCTCTCTCTCTCTCTCTCTCTCTCTTTCTCTCTCTCTCTCTCTCTCTCACTGGTAGTTAATGATCTGTAACCAAGCTCACTATAGGAAGTCCTGTTTAGAGGAACATTTTTGAATATGTATGTAATAAAATAATCTACCCAGAGTGTACTTGTTATATTTGTTCTGTTTTTATATTTTCTTGAAGGTAAGCATTCCACAGTTAAGATATATTTGCTGCCAGTCTGAGGTATACATTGTTCTATAAAATGCCATGGGGAAGGAGATGAGGGTGCAGAAATATTAGACATGATTTGTTTCCTCAATAATTATTAGAACTTGGTGGTTGACATAAGCCAAATACAGGTGAAAAACAATCCAAATACAGATGCCAGTTTATGATCATGACACCACCCTTTCTTTAAACTTGTTTGTGGGGTGGAACAGTGGGGACAAAGTGTGACGGTATGGAAAGGAAATTGCAAAGGAAGTCAGGAAATCTGTCCTCAGATTAAGTTTCTACCAGTAAGCTCACAGCATTATCTTATACAAATCATTTAATTGCTTTGGGACTCAAGTTTTGTTTTGTTTTTTATCTGAAAAATGGAGGTGGGGTAAAGTTGAACTTGATCAATTAGCTATAAAGTCTGTTCTAGCACAAAATATTAGTGATACTGTGAGTGAATCGTGGAAGGCTTCTTGAAAGGGGCAAATCTTGATGTGGGTCTTAAATGATGTAATTAATATAGATCAGCAAGAAGGAAGTGGACAGGCATTACAGGCAAAGAGAGGAAATATGGTGGTGAGAATATGCCAGGCTGGTTGAGGTAAAAGGACTGTACCATGGATTGATGAGAAATGAGGTTAGAAGAGAGTAAGTGGTAGGAAAAGGGGGAGATGTAAAAGGCTTTGAATGCCAGACTAAAGAGTTTAAACATTTGATTTAAAGGTAATTTGGAGCCAATGAAGATTGTTTTGGTATTGGTGTGACATGGTAAAAAACAACCAGTGAGAAAAATGATCCTTGGCAGTGCACTTGGTACTGGAAGCATCTACAGATCTACTTTGTTCCTCT